TAGGTAGTATTCGCTCTACAGGTAAGTAGAGTGATGTAGACTCTAAGTGTTTTCTAAGTAAATGCTTCGTTTTTGTCAATGCTAAATTCGACTTTTTATGACTTGTCATTGCATTTCATGGCTGTACAATGTAGGTCACTATAGGGAATAATAAGCATTGTCCGCGTATGAAAATCTTCCTAGAGTTTGTTTGAAGCCCCATAATCCCCCCAGCATATGGGCCTGCATCGCCGAGCACATTAGGTCAAGGGATGATTGTGTTCCACCATGAAGTCGACACAATGCACTTCAGCGTCCATGACGCTGTTAAGTGTTATCTTTAGCCGACGTAAAATACCCGGCAACGGACTTTGTGGACTCAACAGCCGTCTGGTAAGACTTGTGTTTTGCAGTGTTAATATGCTTAGCCACGTCGTTCTTGCCTGCATGCCTGACGCTGAAGTCGCACTTGCAAAGAACACAGAATGCATGGAAACCATCAAGCTTAGATCGCACGATTACAGGCCACTCAGTTGTGTACTCCGAAAGTTTCCTTTTTTTTCAGAGGAGTCTCCATTATTCCAGCTTTCCCGGGCTAAGCTTCGATGGCGAATTGATGCAAGCTCCGTTGTAGTACAATGTATACTGTAGTGCACGCACTTGCACAGCTAGCTACATACAGTACGTCGTACCTGTAAAGCAGTGCGGCAACTTCGTTCCCCATACGTACACTCACTATTCTGTATTGCAATAAAAATCACTGGGTACAATCACGCCCCGCATGCGTAAAACTAGACTTGGTTTTAAGTCTGTGATCGTGGGTTTTTCTCCATAACCATATCATAAATAGCGCCCTCTTTTGGCTTATGGAGCAAATATTGAATGATAGCACAGTGGTACTGTATAAAGTTAACTTTTGCAAAATATTGCGCGAAGCAACCGCGATCTCAGACTTGAAATCAAGTCTAGAGTGAGGCTGGTTTCTGGCAATCGAGTCTAACGCGGATGTGTACATACATTTATACATGTACATGTACATATATGCGAATTCGCCGCCCGTGGCGACTATTTGTCAACCACTGGTCGATTTTGCCTGGTACCCAATATGTATTTCGCGCATAGGTTACCATGGAAAATCGACTAGTGGTTGTCAAATAGTCAGTCGCAGCTCGCGGCTCGCCGCTCGAACCTGGTGGTAAGAAACCTCTAAACGATCGCAATGCTTTTGCTACGCCCAAATCGTGTATGTTGGCATCTCTGTAAAACTGATTTCAGCAACTTCGCCACACTCATCAACTGATTATTCATTTTAAACATTTTTCAACCTGCCTTTAGAGGGTGCTGTAACATTTTATGATGTCTGGTTAACAACTTAGCCAGAGCATACATCGTTGAAAAGAAGTTCACAGCTTTTGTCACATGACCCATGATGACATCACTTCATTTTTCATCTATAACATCCCAGTCTAGGTGCTAACCTCTTTGAAGCCAATCGGACCTGTAGTTCTAGAGATATACCTGTAGGCCTTCAAAATATGCATAAATGTGATGTCACGTGACTCGTGATGACATCATTATGACGTAAATGTTTGGCACACATCTTCAGATGCTGGTCTAAGTGTGTGCCGTGTATACAGGCAATTGGATTGATTTTAGTGCCCAAGTGCCTTCTACGATGAAAACGTGTTCAAATGCTATGGACAGGAGTCTCAAAAAAAAATCTTAAGGAACAAAAAAGCCGGTATCGGCTGATTGCCGAAACAGCCAACCACTACTGATATATAGTTTGGCTCTTGTGCACCTGCACACAAGACTGCAATTTGCTCTATATGTAGACATCGGAGAAAGTGATCATTTCCGAAGAAAAAAAAAAAAATTCAAAATGACATTCAGGGAATTCTTTGTGAAATTTGATGTCATTGAAGTGCTACAGGTCCGATGGGGTTGAAAGTTGGTACATGTATGTACCGAGACCAGGATGTGTTGTAGATGAAATTGAAGCAACGTCACGATGATGTCATCTTGGGTCACGTGACATCACATTAATTATTAAAAGATTTAATCTTTGAAAATCAAAATAAAATCAACCATGAGAAACCTGAACTTGACGTTTGCAGTGGATAGAATTTATCCATGGTCTTCATTTTTATTATTACATGCAAAATCACATGACCCCTTCGGTTGGCTGGTTCGAATCTGCCAACCGATCCCGTTAGCTCGGTGGTCGAGTGGTAAGACATCTGCACTAGAAAGCAGGAGTTCGTGGGTTCGAGTCCCACCCGAGTGATTTTTTTCCATCTTTCACTTGGGAGGTACATGTAACACACTGAGTATACAGTGTTTAAACGTCGGTGAAGGGCAAAACCTAATTTAAGAACAACACATCCTTCCTGGATGAAACTAAATACTTGAAACTTTACATGTCACATGTCACACAAAAAGATGCCGAAACAGTCCTGTGTTTGTCCACCAACAAATCTAGCTAACATTAAAACAAGTCAGGTGTGTTTACAAACACAAATGCCCCGCAACGGTGACAGTTCCCATGACATAACACCACTCTTTTAACATCAACTTACATGTACCTTGGTCACATGGAACATTCATTGACAGCATTAGTGTCTTCTGTAGGTTTTATATGAATTAATCCCTAATCCCTATAATCTCAGAATAAATAAATGATTTCTATTGTTTTAGCCACTGTGAACTTGACCCTTGACCTTTTGGCCCCAAATTCAATAGGCTTCTTAGGATTACCAAGAACAATCCACAAACCAAATTTGAAGTTCATATGTTAAGTATTTCTCAAGTTATCGCGCTGACAAGATTTCTATTGTTTTAGCCACTGTGAACTTGACCCTTGACCTTTTGGCCCCAAATGCAATAGGCTTCTTAGGATTGCCAAGAACAATCCACAAACCAAATTTGAAGTTCACATGTAAAGTATTTCTCAAGTTATCGCGCTGACAAGATTTCTATTGTTTTAGCCACTGTGAACTTGACCTTAGGCCTTTTGGCCCCAAATGCAAAAGGCTTCTTAGGATTGCCAAAAACAATCCACAAACCAAATTTGAAGTTCACATGTAAAGTATTTCTCAAGTTATCGCGCTGACAAGATTTCTATTGTTTTAGCCACTGTGAACTTGACCTTTGGCCTTTTGGCCCCAAATGCAAAAGGCTTCTTAGGATTACCAAGAACAATCCACAAACCAAATTTGAAGTTCATATGTTAATTATTTCTCAAGTTATGGCGCTGACAAGATTTCTATTGTTTTAGCCACTGTGAACTTGACCTTTGGCCTTTTGGCCCCAAATGCAAAAGGCTTCTTAGGATTACCAAGAACAATCCACAAACCAAATTTGAAGTTCATATGTTAAGTATTTCTCCAGTTATCGCGCTGACAAGATTTCTATTGTTTTAGCCACTGTGAACTTGACCTTTGGCCTTTTGGCCCCAAATGCAAAAGGCTTCTAAGGATTACCAAGAACAATCCACAAACCAAATTTGAAGTTCATATGTTAAGTATTTCTCAAGTTATCGCGCTGACAAGATTTGTCCGGACACACACACACACACCACCCACCCCACACACCCACCCACACACCCACCCACGGAAGGACAAGGCGGAAACAGTATGCCCCTTCGGCTTCGCCGCGGGGCATAAAAAATGGTACATTTGTTTTAGACACCAAGAATGAGGCCATGTTCTCATGCAATGGGCACCAGCAAAGTGTCATCCTCCATATTAAGATCATCAATATCAAGCAAGTTTGGGGAGAATTTATTACCTCATTGACGAATAGCTCAGCATCAACAGTAATGCCAGATCTTGATCTACTTAATTTTGGGGCAATCAGGAATCTTTGGTAACATGATTTTGCAGAAGAAATGACATTGTTGGCCTGGGCCCATATTCATGAAACCTTACTAAATTAGCAGCCAACTAGGCCTTAGTAGGATACTAAAATGCCTAGTGGTCTACTGTGTAGTTGACAACTAAATTGTTGTTCATGAAACCTTAGAAGAACCTTGCTAAATTACTAGTTACATACTAGGACTGTTAAGTTGCATATGGGAGTAACTGGAATTGGGTGCTTGTGGGTGGAGTGGGCATGTGTGGAATGTGATGACAACAGATACAATAGTGTGACAAGTGTATTAGGCTTATCCATGTCCAGCCCTTGCGTGGATTAGCCAAAAAAAGAAGGAATAAAGTGACCAAGGCCTATATGTGGTAGAGTGTACTGCAAGTAAGTAAATCAACATCAAATTATCTAGCAATTGCATATAAAGCAAAAGGGCAAGGAAGGCAAATTATTCTCAAGAAGAGAACCCTTTATGACAGGCAAGTATGAGGAATTAAAGATATTGAAAAAAGATATTATTGATGCTAAGCATAAGGATGCAAACACCAACAAGAAAAAGAAAGATGCATGGGCAGCTATTCTCAGCCAGCACCTTGCAAGATTTCCACAGGTTGAAAGATCATTGGATGATTTCAAATTAGATTATCCACATTAAACTCCGAGTCAAGAGAATGCCTGTCAAGTATGAGCAAGTCCAAGAAGGCAACCGGAGGGGGAGAGCCACAAACAATGATATAGTTGCTAACTAGTGACTTAGAGTTGCCCTGAATCTACACTAATTTTAGTAAGAAACTTAGAATGTAACTAGCGTTAGCAATGATTCATGACTACCAAATATTTTCCAACTAGGCTTAGTAAGCAACTACATGCCTAATTAGTAACCAACTAGGCTTAGTAAGGTTTCATGAATATGGCCCCTGGACTGCAACATTTGTATGATCTGTTTTGTTTTACACTCTAGGAATTAAGTTCATGGCCAGTGACAATAGATTTACAATGTCTGGTATGTACATGTACGGTATTATGAAAGCTGCTGTGTGTTTAGCTGTGTGTGTGTTACTAAAGCTTGCTGACTGTACTCCAAAATAATCTTAAATCAGAATGATTACCTATAACAAAAGAGGAAGAATAGTAAATGTAACATGCAGGCTTACCTTAATACATTAATACATCCATGTCCATTTGTCAGGAAAAACAGGTCATTCTCATTGTTCCATGAAATTTCATTGACTTCAAACTTGAACTGTTCTTCTGTCTTGACACGATGTGACCTGGCATCCACAAAGGTCACAAGATCTTCTTTGTTTCCAACAGCAATTGTTTGCCCATCCGGACTCCAGCAAATATTTATGTTTTCACCTACATTTTTTTTTTTCAGAATTGAAAATAAATATTTAATGAATATTACAAGGTGAACATAAATACTAAATAATAATAAAAACACTCATGTTTAGTGATACATAAAATCCAGGATCCACAAGATTGATGTTTGTGTGGTCCCTGTTACACGTGACCTGTCTAATTTCCCATACTTTGCTTCAGGTGATCACTCTTGGAGATCATGGAGATAGAAGGCATTAACCCTAACTCTGAATTCTCAAACTCTAATCAGGGGTGAGATCGGGGCAAATGAAAAATCCACAGAAATTAAGTGGATGGTTTGGGGGTCACTGAGGACCCAAGGGCAAAGAAGTGTAGACGGTACATGTATATGTTCCACATGAACGTTTAAAATACGTAAGTTATGGTAAAACTAAGGAATTCGGGATTTCCAAAGGACTCTAAGATAAAAATCCTGAAATGTCCTGACAACAAATCCTGAAATCAGGAAAAGTCCTGACAACAAATCCTGAAATCAAGAGGTCCTCACAAAAATTCCTGATATCAGGAAAAAATCCTGAAATCAGGGTAAATCCTGACAAAACACTCCTGAAATCAGGAAATGTCCTGACAAAAATCCTGAAATCAGGGAAAAATCCATGACAAAAATCCTTACATCAATGAAAGATGGGAAAATCCTGATAAAAAATCCTGAAATCAGGGAAAGTCCTTACAAAAAAATCCTGAAATCAGGGAAAAATCCTGACAAAAATTCTGAAATCAGGAAAAATCCTGACAACAAATCCTGAAATCAGAAAAAGTCCTGACAACAAATCCTGAAATCAGGGGACAAATCCTGAAATCAGGGGACAAATCCTGACAAAAAAATCCTGAAATCAGGAAAAATCCTGACAAATCTCACACCTGAATAATTTATCATACACCCTGGAGGTTACACGTAGGTTAAAAAATGTGTTCTGAATACATGTAAATCTTTGTAAAATAAACCGAAACAGGAAACAAAGTTGGACCCCAAATTTATGGAATGACCCATCTCTACTTGAAATTTAAATGTATCTAGATATTGGCTAGAGATGTACATTGGAACCAGTTACCCAAGTACCCGACCATTGATGTCAGGAATCGGTTCCAGATATGGGATATTTTTTATGTTTGTCAACCTACTCGTGAACGTTTTGTCATTAGTTGACCATTTTAGTTTTCATTATCAATATTATTTTATTAACCCTAACCGCACCTAACGCTACAAAATACTACTAGTAGTAAACTGTAGTATGCAGTACTTTAGCATATAAGTGAGCACAGCACTCATAGGATTTTCTAGTATTTGGGTACCTGCATACATGTACATAATTTTTGTAGTACTTTGTAGTATGTGGTACTGTACTCCAAATGAACTCTTAGGGGGTTATGGTTAAGTGTGAGTGAAAAATGGGGAAAGAATGTTGCAACCTAATGCCACTTTTTTTTATCGTATGATACATGTATGTATTATCTCAATGAAGGTCAGTCATTGCAAAAATATTGAAACAACATGAATCTGGGACTGAAAAACATTTTTAATTTTGTCAGAAAATACAATGTACTTTGAAAATGCACTAACTATCCACAGACTTAGTAATGTTACACAACCAAAAAAGTGGCATCTGGATACTACATTCTTTCCAAAAAATGGCCACAAAAAGTGATAAAAATAAAATTCTTCAAAATTTAATGGAGAAGTTAGGGGTAGGTGGTGAACGGCACAATGTACAACGTACCCTGGCCATGACGGGATTGACAGGGATGGTGATGATAAGAAATATACACCGGGAATTGCTTCCTATGCCACAGGCTGATGGTGTGCCGGGCCGGTAGGCATGCCAGGTCGGCGAAGCTGGCCCAAAAAGGCGAATTACGACCAAATTTTCCCGGCGCATCATTTGAGAGAGCAACACACCGCATGCTGTCTGCCTTGAGGCTCAAATCTTATTTTTGTCAGGAACACGTCCTTTTTCACTACCAAACTTATCAACTTCTTCGAGAAAGAAGTCACCGCAAAAATCTGAAGCGTAACGATTGCGTAATCATCTAACTCTTCAAGCTATTGGGAAATTTTTCAAAGCGTATCGGCCCAAT